TTAATAGTACTTGAGATTTTGTTTGGAAAAGCCAAAATTATTACACAAATTAGGTAATTAACATGCATAGAATTTTACCTAAAACTATTCAGGTCTGCAAATCTTTCCAAATCATCTATGTATCCAGTTTCAACATAATCTATTAAACCGTTCTTAAAATGTCAGTGGAACAGCTAAAAATTATCATGCAAATTAGGTAATTAATATGCACAGATTTAAACCAAAAACTAATCAACAAAATCCAATAAGACATTCAAACATACATACAGACGCATTAAACTGCAAAGACAAGAACAATAATAGCAGAAATAATATGTATGAATACATAGGAGGAAGGGACATGCAAGGGTGTCAAACATGACGCAACATACACAAGAGGTATTTTTCCCCTTCAATAAAGCTGTAAGCGCTACCACATTGCGCTGTGCATTTCAAAATGGACTAGTTACAATGAGAATTATAAGTATTCTGGCCATAATTACACATCAAGTTCATTGTCTGTTTACATAATCAGTGAAACGTAACAATTCTCTTTTATCTTGCAGCAGCCATTGCTACCTACTGGTGATCCAGGCCTTGAGTTTGCATCGAATGGAGATGTATCAATAAGGAATATTGTATGTACGATACATTGCAAAAGGAGCCCAAAAGCGTGGCTTGGAACAAAAATTAATCAGCAATGATCACTGCATAATAACCGCAAATTTGTTAGTATATGTCACAAGGTCCAAAAATAGGTGATTTTCCGTACAATTGCGAGATCTTGCGAGATGCATGAAAGACGCGCGTCGAACGTCTGTCGCAAAAATCGAACGATTTGATTTTGAACTAGAATTTTTTTATTTCGTAGCTTACATTCACCGGCCGATCTTCGACAGAGGAATATTGCTTCCGAATACCCTTACTTAATCGAAATTGCCTATCATCAAATGTGAACAGCACATTATTAAGCATGGAAATGTCCCCGAAATACTTTCGCGTTTGTCGAATCCCACACGATGTTTGACGCGACTACGACGCTATGACCTTTGTTTGTCCTGTTTTTATGTTCGATTTCACGCATAATGCGTGATTCTCGCAGTGAACGGAAAATGGTCTATTGAGAAGTAGGCATGCTAGTGGTTGAAAAGCATGTAGATAACATGTATAAAATCAGAAATCGTGTTGGGTACAGTGGTCATGTAGTTTATTTGACACCCTTACAAACCTTTATAGGACTTACTCCAATTATTTGTTGGAAATGCATCATACACCAAGGCATCTGACAGCACCAATAAACCAGCATTCTAATTAGAGATAATAATTCAGATAAAATACAGTCATTATAATTGTGTCAAGAAATTT